TCCTTGAAAGTGTTCTTCTTCAGAGCATCCCAGGAGAAGGTATGCGACTCGAACATATCAATCAGCTGCTCGAACAACTATCAGAAACATGAATGAAAATCCGTGCATGTGATAACTCATTTTCACCATTCAAGTTTTATGTAATGATATGAGCAAAGTAATGTTATATAGGTTTGCTACCCTCAGCTGAGCTCAGGAGTTCCCCCACTACATTACGAAAATGCTCTCACAATTCGAGGTACAGAAATAGCGGTGATTCATCAGGATATTCACGTTGTCACGAACACACCTAGTTGACCATGTGCATCTATTTCCCTACCATATCCACTTTAGCCTGCTTCACTCTGTTTCTACCGCCGTTCATTTTGGTGATATCAGCAACATAGCGAACAATCGTATGTTGCTGTACGATCATTCTGAGTTTACAAGAAGTATGAAATATTAACTAAAAACGCGTATCAGCCTCACGTGCCATCAGCCAGCTCCAATACAGGTAAGTCACCGAAGGGGAATTGCGAACGGCTATTCAACTGATACAAAAAACGACTAAGTCGATTTCGAGCAGCGCCGACTTACGAAGGTCTGATAGAAGTAGCAAACGGCTTCATACGGCTCGTGGCCTATCTCAAGGAGTAGTCTCGCCACTTCTGCGCGATTTCTGAGAGAATAACAATGCGGATCACAAGCACAGTTCGATGACAGATAATGAGTAGGGATGAATCCAGAATCTATAGCGTGCGATGTGAGCTCATAAAAATGGAAATATTGGATTTTTACGATAAGTAGACCATGATGGTATGTCTTTCTCATTCTCACTCACCTCGTGGGGAAATAATGCAGCCGTAGTGGAGTTCTTCCTCGAGTAACAACAGCCGGTCCGCGTAGTACTATCTTACCCTGAGCTCCCTTTACACCTCGTGCGTGCTACATAAAATCCCATACCACACCTCGAGCACTTCCTAGACTATACCGATAACATATCCTGTGCTGCTTTCTCAGCTGCTCGACGTGATTGCATTTCCTCTGCCGTCTCAATACGACTACGTTCATCGCGCTTTCGCCCTGGGAAAAACAATGCATCAAAAATCGTGAGAACCTCATGAAGATATATACTATTAAGACTTTCAAGGCGTAGAATAGATCAGCTCGGAAACGACGAGCAATGTCGGGAAGCTAAGGATTGTAATTATACAGGGATGTGCACAGGAATAGTGGTGAACTTTTTGCTGAGGAAGAGCATCCAAACACGAGTACTGAATGACGAACATCACAATTTCGATCTAATCACGCTGCTGTTCGATCAAACATAGTCATACCTTTGCTGAGAAAGAAAGCTAACGACATGAGAAACGATTATACAGTGATAACAGCGTTGTCCTAGTGAAAGCTGGCAGAGTGAAGAAGTGGAGCTCTACCCTCCCCTTTCCCTATTATCACCTCTATTCACAGCAAAGATAGTGAGGGCTCCGATGGCGATGAGAATTGTAGGCTGCCATATTTCCATTGGTTTAGTCATCATCATTATGAAAAACAATACTATTCGAAAATAACAGTCGAACCAAGAACACAAAATCTGCCACCTTTGGATCAACCGTGTATCGGCGAAAACGAATTAAATCCTACCTCTTCCTCCCCCTCCTCCTCCTCGCAGTTCAGGAGTTCCCTGAAACCGACGATAATACGCTAACTGTCAACAACTGAGATAGATTCGATTCGATATTCCATTTTCATAGGTCAAATGCGAGTTGTTCAGAGTTAGTGCCAAAATAGATCATCAGTTCACTCCTATCCTCCCCCACAATAGAACTTTGCCCAGTAGATGCCTCCTCTACATAGGTTAATAAGTTGCAAATACATCACTATGATGACGAGGGGAAGATTAATGAGCTGATAACTATGCTACAACTGAGCAACAACCTTGAAACGAACCCAACCAAGCTGCTGAGTTTAAGCCCGACTCATATCCCACACGGAATACAGACCTTCCATCCATCTTAGGAAAGGGATCATCCCCCTCACACAACCTCGACGATCATTCCTTCACAACAGACATACAGTCCATTTATCAGCCCTTCGTAGATGATGCTCATCTCGAGCACAGACAACGTTTATGCGCTCCCCCGTAGTAGAGTCATCGATCCTGGGAAAAGTGTCATCAACTCTTCCGAGGGGCGTGCGCGAAGCGATAGCTCACTGTGAATGCAGGACAGGGGGCACGATGTCACACAGGAAAACGGCTCAAGGTATCCGAATACCTATACGGTGAATCGAACCAGGGATCATCCGATGACTACATTGCTACAGTCTCCCGTTAAACCGCCTGAGCTATTGCCGATCAACATATGCTGCGAGTTCGTTTATTCCACCATCCGATACTCTCCCTCTGATCCCACATTCCCATCATCACCCACACGCCTTCCTGTACACCTTAACAGATTCCTCGACATTCACCTGCTATAAACCTTAGCAAATGCCAACCAACATTATCGATGACTCGCGCTCATCTCACCAGTCTCCATCAACTCTCCCTCTGTTGCTTCCAAAAACACACCAAAGATATTCGGCCTACTTTCGGCGAAACTCATCGCAACCTGGAAGGGCAACCACACCAAGAGCAAACATCGCGATCCATCCATCATTAATTAGCCAAAGGAGAACCACAAAAGTCTTAACACCTTCCTCGTCAGGCCCGTCTCCAAGGATCATCCTCTTCCCCTAGCTACTACTACGACCGACGATCATCCGTAATGCTATTAGTAGTGAGCGGAGCGATGACAAAAGAAAACATGAAGATCCTAGTACTACTGCGGAGACAATCTCAATTCATTGGACACAACGTAAGAGGAATACTAGCCTTAGTAGTTACTAGCTTGGGAGGCCCTCCATCCTTACCACTGAGCTATCAATGGTGATCTACACCACTACTACTACAACTACCCATAACAACAACATGATCATCTTGCAAAAGCCCCTACATCCAGTCACTCGACTATCCACACACTCTATGTAATGGGGTCTGTATCTCATACATCGCACTATGAGTGATATTCTGCAATACTCCTACTCGACAGGAGAACACTCTCACTTTATGAAATGGATGCTCATTTCCCCTTCAACCAACTCGGCCACTTTCCACTGAGCCTGACCACATGAGTACAGTCAAACTTGAGCATCCAAGTGAATCTAAGATACTCAAAGATTCACTCCCGAGCACCACACATGTTCAGTGCCATTCGGCTTTCACGAGTCAGCAGCAGCTGATGATGAAGAGCATCTCCATCAATGTGGGTCCATCACCTCGGCGAGTGTGGAAGATGTGCAAAGCGGCAAGAAGAGGTGATTAATGATCTTGAGAGACCTATCCGGACGGACCGGACCTATTCCGTGTCTTTCCATCCCGACCTGAAGATACATTTTACAAGCAACCAAGTAACATAGGCATTCATTCCACTGATCTCAAGTCAATCGCCAAGGAAAACATCATCATTCAAGTTAATGTATTTAATCGTTCTGAGATCGTCTTCAACTTCATCTCATCGGCCACCCCAAGCCCCTCAACCATGTAGTATAATATACGTTTCCGAACCTAAATCCGAGCTCGTGAACCTTGAGGGGCTTAAAGCCCGCATACTACATTTGGTGCCGATCCCACTATGGCCACTACTCTGAATTTGATAGGCATCTCTCTTCCACTCCCAACCTTCACACTTCTTAAGGATGTGTCCAAGCTCCCAACACAGTCCTCCGTATGGAACGCTGGGGTCTGACATAACAATACACGGAGTTTTGACGGGAACCAATTACTATCAGAACCTGTACTAATGTTAAATACATTTTTCATTAGATTCTACTGTATGCCTCATCGAAGCTACCTGCTGACTTTATAACTAATAAATTCTACCATCCCTCAAGGAAAAGGGGTGATATTATACCGTGCCACATTCTATGACAGTCATGAATGTAACCTCAT